GTGCAGCCCTTCCGAGAGCTGGCTGCCATCTCAGCCCCTGTTGGTGTGACATCCCCCGGCCGCGGGATCCCGTGCCGCAGGCAGCTGCGGACAGACACTGCATCCCCATCCCTCTCCTGGCCCCTCCGTCTGCACCAGCGAGGTTGCCCCAGCTGCCCTGCACCACCCCACGTTTGCAGCATCCCAGCAGGCTGCATTCCCTCCTCTCTCTCTCTCCTGCGCATGCAGCCGCAGCCCATCCCATCTTTGCGGATTTAGCACAGGGCCGGGCCCTGCGGGGTTTTCCAATAGTGGTGCTCCATTAGGGCCCAGCTCTGCTCTTACCACGGCCAAAAGTCCCATTGACTTCGCGGGGGCAAGCCCTTAATGGCCTGGGAAAGTAAGACTTTTTTTCCTGGATTTTTTTTTTTTTTTTTTTTTTTTTTTTTTTTTTTTTTTTTTGTGGTGACATTTAAAGCCATAGCCACTTTTAGTATTGCCTGTCCAAAAGTTGCAAGAGACCTCAGGCCCTCCTGCAGAGGCAAAGAAGAGCTGCTAAAGCTCCAAGAACACAGAGGAGGCATTCTTGCAGAGACCATGAGCCTGTGCACAGCTGCTGCTGTGGCAGTGCTGTGTGCTCTATCCACTCCTGGGCAAAACTTGGACAAAACCAAGCTGTTTAAAACCTTACATGTTTGCTCAGAAGCACAGACATTTTCAGCATCATTTCCTAATAATGGAAATCCAAGCCTATTTTCTCCTCAATTGAGATTATTGTTGTGTTTCTTAAAAATATTTTTAGTTGAGGCATGTATCAAAATGTTTTGCTGAGCAAGTTTTGTGTGAATTGAAAGGTGCCAACGATGATTTCTTTTCAAAAGGGTTGTCCAAAAGTGTCACCAAAAATAAAACATGAAAAAAAGTTTCTCAAGTGTCATTTCAAACAACAACATTCATTTGAGAGCTGGCAAGAGTGGCAACAGCGTGGTTAGTTGTCATGGGGTAGAGGATCTGAACCGGTGCCTGGATCTTATTCATAGGGGAAAAGTCCTTCCTCTCCCCATTAGCTTCCTGGTATTTGAATAGCTTTCAATAACGAGCCAAGGAAGATGTTCAGAAGTAAGACAGGAAAAAAATATAGATTGTGGTTGAATAAACAACGAAGCAGTGTCTTCCTCCTGAGAAGCAAGCTGCCAGTCCCTCGGGATTTGAGGCATGTCTTAGGGAAGCAGTCCCTCCATCAGATCCTAGAGGAGGGAAGGACGCCAGGGACATCATGCCCCCATTAAAGGTATCTTCTCTGGAGAGCACAGGGCAAGGAGGTGTCACCTACCTGATGCAAAAGTTAAAAAACTTCTTGTGTTTACAGTTATGAATGGCCTGGACAGCTGATGTGCAGAATCCTAAAAATGTCAAGCCTTCTCTGTGGCAAAGAGTTTTCCAGCATGGATTCTCCCAGTGGCTTTTTACAGGCTGCATAAAGGAGTTTCCAGATATGGCCAGAGATGCACTTGTTGAGACACTCGCTGCTGTGTGGCATTTTTGTGAATGTAGTTGGGTATTTATGGGATAAAGTTGTGGTGTAGGATGGATTATGCCTCTACGTGTGGCATACCCTTGTAGGCACCTGCAGTGTTACTTGAGCACAAATGCTCTGGGATTCCAGTGTGCAGGTGCAGAAGCACCTGTGCAGAAGGATGTCTTGCTGCTGTGTATCAGCAAAGCCTGTGAGCTCGTGTGCAGCTTGCAGGAACAGACACTGGAGTGGCTGCACCATGTTGTTGGAGGGGCTGTGTGTGGCACCAGCAGCACAGCTGTACGAGGAGGTCTGATAGGTAGAAACTTACTCACCAACTTTGTTTTCCTGCACTGGCTGTTCCTCTCCTTCCCTCTGCCCCCTCCCCTCAACCCCCTTCTCTCTCCCCTCTCTAATGATCTGACAGCACTGAAAGCTTTCTTGCAATTTTATTATGAACAGCAGGGGTTTAGCTGGGTATTCTTCAATGCTTCACTGTCTTCTCCACCGTGATGCCAAACATGACATGAAAACATCCATCAGGTTCAGACACATGGAGGGGGCTGGAACCAGGATGGCTGCACGATGCTCCCTCCCTCAGATTTATTGCAATCTTGTCCCATTTTTCCCACAAGAGCCCTGCCGTGTGAAGGGAGGGCTGACCTGTGTTGTCCCAACAACTCCAGCTGTGCATGCCCGTGGCCAAGGATGGTGCACCATCCTTGCCTGGCATCTCTGCACACTTGATCTTTGGTGATTGATGAGTTTCCCAGGAGCTAAGGGGACACTCACTTCATCCCCACCAAGCACTGCCACTCGCCTCCAAAGGATGCTGTACATCAGTGAGGGGGTGTCCAGCCATGAGGGTTCCCCCTCTCCTGGAGGCCACCACCCCAGCTTGTGTCCTGAATGCCCGTGTCCTCTCACGCAAAGTCCTTCTCTCTCGGTCCATTAGTTTGTTTCCATGGCCAGTGGCAGGCACACGACTCTGAAAGCTGTATTAAAAGCCAGGTCAATACCAGCCCCTGCTTATTCCCTCAGGGGAAAATAAGTAAATAATGAAAGGAGGGGGTGACTTCATTTCCTAAACCAGCAAACTCTTGAATACAGTGCTGAGAGAGGCACCCCAGTTCCCAAGTGGGGAGCATTGGAGCCCTGAGAGGCAGCTCTGCCTCAGCACCAGCAGAACCAGGAGGGATGAGGGTCCCTCCAAATCTAGTGAATCCATCATTTCAGTGAAGGCTTTGAGGCAGACTGCTGTGGCAGATGGGCTCTGGAGCCAAGGATCACTACAGGAGCAAGGTAGAGGCTGAGGTACTTAATACCTTCTTTGCCTCAGTCTTTTATAGTGAGACCAGTTGTCCTCAGGGTACTCAGTCTCCTGAGCTGGAAGACAGAGACAGGGAACACAACAAAGCCCCATAATGCAGGAGGGAATGCTCAGTGACCTCCTATATCACTTAGACACTCCCATGTCTGTGGGGCTGGATGGGATCTACCCATAGAACACTGAGAAAGCTGGTGGAAGAGCTCGCCAAACCACTCTCCATCATTTATCAGCAGTCCTGGCTATCCAGGGAGGTCCTAGGTGACTGGTGGTTAGCCAATGTGACATCCATCTACAAAAAGGGCTGGAAGGAGGATCTGTGGATCACTGTCAGCCTGATCTCAGTACCAGGAAAGGTTATGGAGCAATTCACCTTGCCATCATACAGAACATGTGGCACAACAGGAACCAGGTCCAGCCAGCATGGGTTTAGGAAAGGCTGGTCCTGCTTGAGCAGCCTGATCTACTTCTATAACAAAGTGACCTGCTTAGAGGATGAGGGCAAGGCTGTGGATGATGTCCACCTGCACTTCTGTAAAGCCTTTGACACTGTCTCCCAAAGCATTTGTCCTGGAGAAATTGGCTCCCTGGAGAAACTGAATGAGTGCACTGTTCATTGGGTAGAAAACTGGCTCCATGGCTGGGCCCAGAGAGTGCTGGGGAATGGAATTATTCTGGGGAATGGAATTATTCCAGTGAATGGAGCAAACCCAGGCAGGACAGCTGTTCCCCCACAAAACCTACAGCCTAGGACGAGAAATGACCATGTCTGGGCCTAGACACATCTTGTGAGTCTATTTGTGCTCTTTCTCAAATGCACTTCCATATAACCTCACTTTCTCTTCCTCTTCTCTCTTTCCTTCTCCACCATCTGCCTACTGTGTCTGCTTCTTCCTCTCAGTCCTGCTGTTTCCTTCCTTGCCCTTCTTCTTCTTCCCCTCTTCTTTTTGCTTTTTGAACCAATTCCAAATTGATATTGAGATGCTTTTATTCTACTTTGTAGATCAGGGATGAGGTGGGACATAACTTCTTCAGCCATTCCCCACCACAGCACAGCTATCGGGTGCCCAGAGCAGCTTCCTGAGCTCCCTGTTTGTTTTCCTGTCCTCATCTCATCTACAGTTTTGAAGGGGTGATTTTGCTGCTCCTGAAGGAAGATGCTCGCTCCCGAGGTTTTCTTGCTCTTTTGTGAAATGACAACAAAGTGATGTTAGAGATCTAGCTTTGGTTGATGTCCTTTCTCATTCTCCCTCCACTTGCCTCTAGGAAAAAGAGAGACTTTGGGTTTTTTCATGGGGTTTTTGAATCTAAAGCAATATCTTGCACATCTCTGCCTCTTCACCAAGTATATCTAGAACTCTTCCCTGGGCAAAACTCTCGCTGTCTCCAAAGCAAACAGTATTGCTTGGCCTATCCTATGGTAATTTTAATGCAGATTATTCCCTCCATACACACATTGGTATGACCTTCTCCCTGAGCAAATTCTCTGAGCCTCTTGTTATAGGTCTTTACCAGAGAAGCCCAGAACAAGAGAGCCCTTGTGGTGGACCTTTCAAGGGTCATACAAATTTGCCATACAAATAGAAAACACCAGCCCTAATAACCCTCATCAGTCTCTATACAAGGCTGCAGCCTTGGAGTCTGTCCTTTGCTTCCAAACCTCCCCTTGGGATATTAGACTTTATTAAAAATAAATAGTTACAAATTCTGTTTTACAGGTGATGGCATCAGGGAGAAGAATTGAGGAGGCAAAAGGAGCAAGTGGAGGGTCTGCTGTCCAGTCAGGTCACCTGTCTGTCATCCTGGCTGTGCTGTGCCAGGGAGCAGTCTGAGTGTGGTAAGCACAGGGCCCTGCCTCCTCTGCCAGGTATCTCAGGAGAGGAGCAGGACATGTTTTTCAAGAGGACTGGGAGAACTGGATCTGAGTCCGTAGAGCCAAGCTGCTTCTGGAGGTGGCAGACACCAAGAGCCAAGGAGAGTGCAGAGCAGCCTGTAGAGTAGTAGAGTGTCCTTGTCTCCTAGCTTGGTGTTTGCATGGAAGAATATCGATTTCAGTTTTCCTTCTCTTTTATATACAGAATCATGTGCAACAAACAACAAACATGCAAGTAAACTCCTCCCTTGAGATCCTTCCCCACTCCCTCCAGGAGTCCCAAACTCTCCCTTCTATCCTCATTTGATCAGTGCTTAGGTGTCACTCCTCTCCCAGTGACAGCGATGACCCTTGACTGCCGTGGAGCCTACCCTTAGTGAGAGGGGACAGAAAGTCTGCTGTTGCCTCAGCAGCAGAAACACTTGCTGTGGGCCCCAGTCTGTCCTCCACTGAAGGTGAAGACTCCTGTCACCTCCCCAGAGACAAGAAACCAGGCCTGCTGCTCTCCTGTCCCTGGGCAGGAAAAGGGTTCTAGCCCAAGCTGCATACCCGGAAAGAGTAGTGTATCCTCACTCCTCTTCCAGGCAGTATGACCTCATGAGAAGGGAGGATGTCAGAGCAGCTCCAGGCCTTGGTGTATTTGGGGGCTGAGAGGCAATCATGGGAGGCATTATTTGATGGTGAAGGGACTTATCCAATGTATGGGTACAGAACAGAGGAGGCTGTGGGCAATGGGTGTGGAACAGGGAGGCTGGAGGAGTTAGATGGCTGACTCCCTGCGGTATGAGATTGTATCTAGAGGCAGAGTTGCCTGGAGCCGCTCCAGGTCCAGGTGGCTTCCAAAATCCATCATCTGGATGATACCTCCCTCCTCCTTGGTGTTGCCCCCTAACACCACACCTACTTCATCATCATCTTCATCTTCATCTTGACTGACGAGTGCCAGCTCATTCTCGTAGCAGAAGGCACTGGGAGGTGGTGGGGAAGGTAGGATGGTCATCTTGCTTTCTTGCAGTTCCCGGGCTGAGCAGCAAGGTGTGCCAGCTACCTCGTACGTCTTGTGAAAGCGCGAGTAATCCACTTTGTAGTGGTTCTTCTCCTCAAACACAACTGGTTCAAAACGATGACCCCAAAGGATTTCACTAGCAAGGTAAGAGCTTCGTGCCTGTGTGGTCATGGCTGTGGCTTCCACCATCCCCTCCAGAATAACCACAATCTCGAAATTCTCCGTCTCCAGCTCTTCCTTGCCGATCCCATAGAGGGGGCTCTCCTCATCAATCTCATGAACAATAATAATGGGTGAGACCAAAAATATACGATCAAGACCCACATCGTAGCCCACATTAAGGTCCCGCTGGTCCAGGGGGAGGTATTCCCCTTCCTCTGTCATGTAGGGTTTGATGAGCTGGGCTCGGACATGGGCCTCCACAATGTGACTCCTCCTCAGGTTGCCCACCCTCCACATGAGACACAGTTTGCCATCCCGCACGGAGATGACCGCATGATGGCTGAAGAGGAGGGTCTGGGCCCGCTTCTTGGGCCTTGCCATCTTGGCCATGATAGTGCCAATCATGAAGGAGTCAATCACGCAGCCCACTATGGACTGCACCACAACTGCCATGATAGCCAGCGGGCACTCCTCAGTCACGCAGCGGAAACCGTACCCGATGGTTGTCTGTGTCTCCACTGAGAAAAGAAAAGCCCCCAGGAAGCTGTTCACGTGCATGATGCAGGGCTTGAGGAGAGAGGGACTACCTGCCACAGCTGGTGCATTGAGGTCACCGTGGAAGAAAGCGATGCACCAGAAGAGGAAGCCGAAGAAGAGCCAGGAGACCAGGAAGGCAGCGGAGAAGATCATCAGCATGTACCGCCAGCGCGTGTCCACACAGGTGGTGAAGATGTCGGCCATGTAGCGCTGAGATTTGTTGCTCAGGTTGGCAAAGTAAACGTTGCACTGGCCGTTCTTCTTCACGAAACGGTTGCGGTGCTTCCTGCGGGGAGCATGGCCCTTCCCGTTGTGGCTGTGCCCGTTCATGCTGCCCAGCGCAGAGACCTTGTGGCCATCCTCTTCAGTTGAGACGATGCTGTACCTGGGAAGAGAAGAAACAAGCACTTCCATCAGGAATAAGTGAAGGGTAACAGCAACCACTGAGGCAGCAAGGGCAGGAGATGTGGGTGGCTCACAGGGTTACAGTACCTCCCTGTTGGAGCTAACAACAGCACATTTGAGTGATTATTGCACCATGGTGCCAACCTCACCAAACTGGTGGAGATCAGCTGCAATGGTCACTGAGTGATGCTGCCAGGAGGTTGCATCTAGCAAAGTCCTGACAGGGCACCAAAGCAGGGCAACTTGTAGCTCTGTGGTACCTTCCAGTCTTTATGGTGAGAAGGGATACAAGGCTTTGAAACCTCACAGCAGCTGGGACAGCCAGGAAGCCTGGGAGCAAGCATCCACAGCCTGACCACATTTTGGCCCTCATATAATACAAGCTTCTATTTTCTCCTCTGCTCTCTGCTCATTGATTTCATGGTGTGTGGTGACAATGTTTATACACTTCCTGCACTCAGGACAATTCTGTTGCCACAGCAACATGTGTGTCTTCCAGCATCCCTTATCGGAAGCCAAAGGTGTAATTTGGAAATCAACAGCCAAAGCACTGGCAGTTTCTTAGGCAGAAGCTACACACACACACTTTCTGGGAGACCTTTGCCCCTCTGGCTCCATTCCCTTGCAGTCAGCTCTGACACTGCCTCTCATGTGATCCTGTGACAGTTGCAGATACTCCTTAAAGATGTGATGGTAGAAGGTGTTCTGACCACTGAGGAAATCAAGAGAGTGCACTGAAGCACAGAGTGCTCTGCCCTCATGCCTGACAAGCTGCAGCCTCTCAGGACCTTTGGAGTGTCTCCCTGCCACCCCACAGTGTTGACATGTCAGCTGGAGTCCTCCAGCGTGGGCCTCCATCCACATCTCATGGCAAGGACAGTACTGGTGGCTGGAGCTGTGATTCCTGGGAACATGTGGCTTCTGCAGTGCTGCTGGAATCTGTTATTTCTGGTCCAGCACCATGCAGTGCTTTGCTTCTTCTCCATAGTATTCCTCCAAGCACTATCCTTACATGTTACATGGCATGTTTTGGATTGGAGAAGGAGAGAGGAGTCATTCCTTGGAACAGGAAAGCTGCTGGCAGGTAATTTGAGAAGAATATATCAAAAGGCAGTCTGAAGTTAGGGTCTGAGGGGCCAGATAAGGAGGACCAGGTCACTCAGAGCAGCAGCAGGTCTCGAGAGGAGGGTTACTCACCGATTGACTCGGACGCTGCCCATGGCTCGCTCTGTCATCAGATGTCAGGGGCCCGTGGGAGCTGGCAGGGCGTGGGAACTCATGCAGCAGCACTCACACGGGACTTGGCAGCTCCAGGTTTCACCTCTGGAGAGCTGGGACCAACGCTGCCATCGCAATTACTCCTGGGCACGCACCTGACAGAGAAGGACAAAGCAACACCCAGTCAGATCCTCCCCTGACAGCACCCATCCCAGTCCAGAGCAGTGGGCACAGGGCTCCCAGCCTTTTGCTCAGGATGTGTTGGGAGGTCTCCTTGGGGCACCTGATGCAGCCTGGCTCGGGCAGGTGAGGAGCTGATGGATGCAGCCCGGGTGCACGGCTTGCAGACCCTGCGCTCCCCAGAACCTCCTGCCAGCAGAGGAGCAGGGCGGGCTGGTCACTGCCCTCCACATCAAGGGCACAGCAGCTGAGCAGCTCACAGAGCCCTCGCCCTGAGCCATTTTATTAATATCAGAGCTTACACCAGGAGGAGAGCTCAGCCAGGCTAAATACCTCTCACACAAGGACTAACAAAACACAGGAATGCACAGCAGTCCTCAGGGATCCCAGTCAACCCAGCCTAACCCTGAGGGAATTTTTTCCAGGGTATGCAGAACATCCCCCCCTGTTTCAAATCAAAGAGGATGAAAGCAATGGGTAGAGCCCAAAAGGACTGATAGATAGAAAGAAAGGGCTCAAGGGTAGCCAAGGAGAAGCCAGTTAAAGGAAACAAACCTTACTGCATGCCCTGTGTACAGCATCCAAGGAGCAGCTCAGCAGTGGAGTCCTGGGAGGATGTCCGGCAGGTGTCCCAACCCAGTCCTCCCAAACGGAAGAATGGGGAAGCCAAAGACTCAAGAGCCAACCTATTCCACCTGCCCAGAGCTGCTGGGAAATGAAATGCACTGAGGGGGTAATGACTCACAGATTAGGAAGGGCTTTGTACACCCATGCTAATCCTGCACTGTAGCCTTTGGATTACAGCAGCCAGTGTGGAGTGCAGATGCAGACAGAGCAGCTAGTTGGCTTCCTCCTAGCCTCACCAATGAGCACTAGTTGTCAGATATGGGAAAAAATACAAGTATTTTTGAATCAAATGTAAGGCTTAGAGCTACTTGCAAGTGGTTGTGCACAGACAGGAGAGAGGAACAGCAAATGACATCGCCTGGGATTGAAAAGCTGGTGAAATCCATCCTTGTCTCATCACCAGTGCCACAGAATGGGGTTGCTTGTGGCCAGGAGTGCCCACCAGCTTTCCCCATAGACTGGAAAGCAGCAAGAAGGAAGCTCCAGACATCACCTTTGATGGGATGAAGATTACTCAGTTACTGAGGCAGTTAAAGCTCTTCAGCAAACAAACATGGTTGTTCAGACCAAGGGTATTATGAGACCAGGAGAAGAAAACAACCTTGTAATCCACAACTCACCATATAGAGATAAAAATGAACAGCTGCCCAAAAATCGCCGTCAGGAAAAAGCACTTTGACACTGAACTCTGCCAGCTCCCATCAGCTCAATACCCTACAACATCTGAGTCTTTCTGAAGTCAGTTTGGCCAGAAATTTTTGCCTTGCGGCTGGATAAACCTATAGCAGACCCTGGGGCCAGTAACCTAAGTTAATCAGAAATGTTGATGTGATGAAGAGAGGTCACTTCATACCCACAGACAGTACTGCTGGGATAAAGCTAACTAGCTTTCAGATGGCAGGGTCCCACATGATTTTGGGAGGTGGCAAAGGTGGGAAATTTAGGTACACTCCTCTATGCCAGCTCCAGCCAGGAGAGGAAGGGCATCCTCTTCATCTGACATCATCTCAGCCAGCCTGGATATGCCAAGCTCATCCTTAGCCAGTACTAACCCTGATAACAGGGAAGGTACTGTCACAGCTCACACAGATGAGTAATTCACAATTTCCTGAAAGTTTCTACAATCAGCAGCTCTCTTTCTCCAGCTGCAGAAACAGGTGCACCATTTCTAGAGATTTTGGATTTCTGGCCCAGGCAGCAGCCAGCTCCAAAAGAAAGGAAGGACGACCTAAGGAGCTTTGTGAAACCATGTGCAGCAACACCTGGATCTCTGCTCCTCACCTTTCCCCCGAAGAAGGAGCAAAGGAAGCAAATGAAATTCAAGGGCTTTGTTCAGCTCCAGTTCAGGCTGGTACAGCTGTGAGATGGGATGAGCACACTGTGTAAGAGTGCTGCCTCCTGTGGTGCTGTGCTTCCTCCTGGCTCCCACATGGGAGCTCATGTCAGCCGGAGCCGTGGCTGGACAGTGCAGCTCAGAGCCTGGGCTGCCTTTGCTGCTGGCTCCACAGTGCCCAAACAGAGTATCAGCAGCTAAAGCCACATCCCTACCTGCAACTGCTACTTAATCACAAGGAAAGTATCACCACAAAGGATAAAGAATAAATGTGAGCACACACATTTGAAAATGGGAAAGTAAATGCTTTTATTTGCAGTAAATGGTTGCAAGTGGGAGACCAATGGCCTCGGACCGTGCACGGATCCATGGAACTCACACAGAATTGCACTCATAGATCTTTCTCTGCTTAAAATTTGAGAATTTTTCTCGTAGATTCAAGGACCTCAGCAACAACAGGCAGCATTCCTGAGGCAGAAGCTGCCTGAGGGAGCCATCTTTGCCCAGTATGAGCTGGTGGGGGTTTTGACTGGTGAAGCCTAAATTGTGCTTCACTGCTTCCAGGCCAGTCTGTTCTCAGGTTTTCATTCTCTGGCCTGCATCTCTCCAGCTGTCCTTGGAGAATGAAGATCTTCTGCTTCAGCCTCTCCACATTCGCTTCGGCATCCAGAGCCCTCTGGTTCATTAGCTGAAGACGACACTCAGTCTGCTGGACTAAGGCCTGGGCCTTTCGGGCTTCCTTCTCTCGTTCAGCCTGGCTGGTCTTCAGCTGATCCTGCAGGGTCGCCATCATGCACAGATGTCTGTTCAAGTTGTTCTGGAAGTTGTTAAGCATTTTCCTGACCATGGCATTGTCCTTCCTGAGTGCAGCATTCTCACCCTTGAGCCTGTCATACTGTTCCCTGAGCATGTTGTATTCCTGCCTGAGTATGACATCCTTCTCCCTGAACACACGGCTACCCTTCTTGAGCTCTTGGAACAGCTGCCTGAGCGCCAAGTTCTCTGACTTGAGCACGAGGTTCACGTTCCTGAGCATTTTGTTCTCCGACCTGAGGCGGCTGTTCTCCTGCCAGAGCAAGTCATAGGCTGGCTGCACGGACTGGGACTCCCTGTCCTCCCTGTCCTCCCTGTCCTCTCTGTCCTCCTCGTGCAGCACATGGGGCTCTGCTCCTGTGGTGCTCTCTGAGTGTCCCACATAATGGGCACTGGCACCGGCCTGTGTGGTAGCAGCCTCTGTCCCCAAGTGCTGGCCTGAGCTGCTCTGGAAAGAGTTGTGGAAGCCACTTGGTGCTGTACCAGCCTTTTGGAGAGCAGGCAACCTCTGGTGCCAGGGAAAGCGATAGGTCGGGCTGGACTCCTCATATCCAGCCGAGTTGTCTTTGTAAAATGGTGTCTGAGATTCCTGATCTTCCTCCTCAAGCTCCAGCGCATGTTTGGCCAACCTCACTTGTTTATCTTTTACCATGTAAGAGTGCCCAGTCATTAGGGAAAATGGGGTGGGCTCTCCCAGATCCTCTGTCTGATTGTCATCTATGCTGTCACTGCTCTTGCACAAGGGTGAAGGAAGCTCAGAGTGGCAGGAGTTCTCTGATTCTTCACTGTCATCATCATCACCATCATTGTCATCATTATCTTGCAAGTCTTGAGATTCTGGGTAGACTATCATCATTAGCCCAAAGATACGAAATGGCTGTGACATTTTTCAGAATACTCTGGGCTGCAACAAGTAGGAGAATCTAAATTGTCGTCCTGGAGTGCAGGCAATGCAGGCTGTTGACACTGACAAGCAGTGTGCCACCTTCTGCAGCCTCAGCAATGCTTGTTGTGGCCACTAAAATGCCCGTTTAGAACACCAGAATGCTCAGGAGGGAGAGGAGAACCACATACCTCTGCATCTTGGCTCTGGGAGCAACCAGACAACTGGAACCACCAACATTCCAAGGTCTGTGATGTCATCGAGTTCCATGTGTGCTGAGTTGACAAAAGCAGGGGAGGAAGCAATTAACTGCTGTCCTGATTCTCTCTAGGACTGCGTTAATTTTCTTCCTAGTAGCCTGCACAGTGTTGGATTTAATATGAGAATAATGCTGGTAACACAGATATGTTGGAGTTGTTGTTAAGTAGAGGCTTACTCCAAACCAAGGACTTTTCTGTTGCCCGTGTTCTGCCACTGAGGAGCTGTACATGAGTCCAGGAGGGAGCGTGGCCAGAACAGCTGGTCCAAACTGGCCAAAGGGATATTCCATGCCACAGAACATCATGCCCAGTATGTAACTGGAGGAGGTAACTGGAAGGGGCTGATGAGTGTTTGGGGATGCGCTGGGCATCAGCCTTGGGTGGTGAATAATTGGGTTGTGCATCACTTGTTTCTCTTGAGTCCTGTTATTCTCTCTCTCTGTGCTTATTATTACTATTACTACCAGTATTATTATTGTTATTATTATAATCATAATCATTATTTATAATAATATTAATATGATTAACATTTATTGTTGTTATATTTTGTTTTGATTGTTAAATTGTTCTTCTCTCAACCCACAAAGTTTACCTTTTCTTTTCGATTCGATTCCCCTCCCCACTGGGGATGGGGGCAGTGAGAGGGAGAGAAGGGCTGAATGATACTTAAGTTGCCTGCTGGGGTTAAACCACAACAACTGCAAAAAAGTGTTTCTAGCAGCACGAGGATAAGCTGTCCTCCTGGCTGCAGAGTCAGCACCCAGCCTGGGGATGCTGCCAGTGAGCAGAGATCAGCTCACGAAGCCATCTGAGACCTCCAGTGTAAAGGAGGGACAGGGAAAATCCAGCCTGGGCAGGCAGCATGGGTCAGAGGAGACAACCCTGTCCCACAGGGTACTGAGACATCTCCACCAGCAAGGTCCAGCCACGGGCACTTGGTGGGGACTCACCTTGGACAGGGCCAGGAGATATCACCAGCACTTTGGCCACAGGCATCACTCTAAGCTGAGCGGCCAGTGACGGGTCCACATTGTGGTGCTGCCAATCTGATTCATCCCCTGCTGCCAGCTGGCACAGGAAAGTGTTAGTAATACCGAGTGCCACAAACTCAGAGCGGCACGAGCCAGGAGACGAACAAAAATAAACACATTTCCCACTTCCACCCCAACACACCCCCACAGCGCGTGGTGCTACCATGGGAAGGACAGACAGGCAGGCAAGAAACGCCTGGACTGGGGACTGCTACCACATTGGGTCACTGTCCCTCCTCAGCAGCTGGTAGACCAGGGCCACCACTGACATCCCTACTGGCAAAATCAATGCCACCAGCTTGGAAAGGCCAGGGGGCTTACCAGGAGCCCAAACCCTATGCCAACATAGTTCAAATGGCTGTGAAAAGGTCCCATTGCAACTTGAAAAGCTGAAACACAAATTGAATGAAAGAGGAAGGATCAGAGATGTCTCCAGCAGAAGGGGATTATATTCATATCCTGAACAGGCAGCTGCCTGTCACATGGACAAGGGGAAGGAAAGCCTGGCTGAGGACAGAGACACAAATCCAGAGCATGCCTGAGGACATTTCTTGGAGCTTGCTCTGCGTCCTGAGACCCACATGTGAAGAAGGAAGCTGAAGAGTCAGTGCAACTCCTATGGAGTTGTATGAAACCAAGCTGGTGGGTGCAGCAAGGAGAGATGTTAGGCAGGAGGCTGCAGCCTGCATAGATGCCTCCGCATCCCTCTGCTGCCTGTCCTGGGTGTGCGTGAGCACTCATGGCCTGCAGAAACCCCCAGCACTTTTGAAAGCTCTTGCAGCATGGATGTCACAGTCACTGCCTTGCAGCATTGAAGCAGTCAGCCGGATTAAGTGTCCAGGGGCCAGCAGCTGCCTCCAGTCCCAAAGCATGCGCTACCCTTCCCTCTTTCCCCACCGCTTTCCCCCTCCTGTGTCTTAGACTGAGCAATGCCAGGGACACCACCACGGTGCTGCAGTCATCTCCTCCTTCCCGTGTGACATCGTGCTCCAGCAGCACAAGCCATCACACCAGCCCACGCTGCCACCCCAGTTCTGCTCTGGCCCTGAGCAGACACGTGGGGCTCTGCTGCTGCTGTCCCTTTCCAAGGGATCTGCAGGACTATAAGGTCGACGTGCTTGGTGCCACGGCAATACCTCCATTGCTCCATCCCCTGTACACAGTGCAGTGCCTCGCACGTCCCAGTCTTTCTCCAGCCTCTGCCAGAGTGGATCATATATTGTCAATCCTTCCTTAAATTTGCAATGGAAGAGTCTCATGAAACAGAACAGAAAAGTCCACGCTGAAGCACTCCCCCACTTCTCTTTTTATAACAACCGTATCTGGTGCTCTGGGACATACACTGTGAACGACAACGATGGAAAAATCCCAGGGTATTTTTACACTCTTAGTCTTTGCTTTATCTGGAGTTGTCTGGCAAATGCTTCTCTCCTGTCTGTGGTCAGTACTGCAGCCGCTGGTTGCGCTCCGCTCTGTGCCTTTGTCCCCCTTACCGGCTGCGTAGCACCGGCTGGCTTGGGATCAGCATCCACAGACCCATCCTGCCAGCTCGGGCACGGTGACAACACGGCAGACGAACTTCTCGCCTCTTGGGGAGCCAGGGCGGAAACACCGGCAGCTGAGAGGGGACCTCTGCCTTTTTGCAGAGCCTCGCAGACCCGCAGCATTCAGCGTGTCCTCTCCATTTTCTTTGCAACTCCATCTCTTCTCCTATTCCTCACGAATATTCCCAGGGTTCAAGTTGGGGCTCATAGGGCAGCTCGGTGCCATGGGCGGCTGTCCTGCCACAAGAGTCAGCGGCCGAGCTCTCGCTGCTACGTGCCGGCAGGGCAGGCTGCCAGGCGCTGTATGGGCACACGCGAAGGCACAGTCACTGTGCAGGAGAGTTTTACCATATTAAAAAGGCAACTGACATATGGAAGGTGAGGGGAGGAAGCTGTAATCAACTCTATACCATTTTTATATACACACTTCTGCCTTTTCGTTCAATAATTATAAATAGATTAAGTGCCAACAATCCCCATCTGCCCCTCAAGGCATGATCCGCTGACCAGTTTCCCTCTCCAAAAGAGGATTTTATTCATGTGCCTCTGCCCGGTTTATATTTTGGAGTGGAGTGACAAGGGGGGATATTTTTTCCCCCGTGAAGCTCTGGAGCCTGAGGATGGGTAATATGAAAACAAAACAAAATGATTTGAAGTTAAACCATCTCAGTGTGTGACTCAGAGCTATTCATAGCTCCCTGAAGCCAGCTGCAGCAAAGGAGCCAGAAGGATTCTGCCCGTATTATTATTCCAATTACCATCTGAATTAAAAGTTTGAGCAGTGATCAGCCCACATGCTGATGGGAGGGGGAGAGAAGAAAGCGAAGAGAGAAGGAGAGAAAGAGTGAGAGGGAGAAAAAAACAGATAAAAATGGGAACCACACAAAGGTGCCCAGGATGACAAAGTCAGGAAGAGGCACAGAAAGGTGACAGCATCACCTTCTGCCTGCTCCCACACCGCCCCAGCGATCCCTGCTGCAGCTGCACCGTCCAGACCATGGCGCTGCAAGAACAGCTGCCTGCTCCCCAGGATCTCAGACTAGATGGGGGATACCCCATGGTGGGGTTGGTGGGACTGGCACCGGCATTACCCCACTCCTCTCTGCCCAAAATGGGGCTGGGATTACAAAACACAGGAGTTAGGGGGTTGACTGAGCAGGATTGTAAGGAGATGATGCTGCTGGAGAGGCAGGTGGGGAGAAGTCCCTGCTTTTTCTTGCTGAGTGAGGAAGGTGGGTGTTATTCTTTGTAGCTGGCATCACAGGAAAAATTAAATGTTCAGAAGGTCCCTGGCCTTCCCTGGGTGGTATTCTTGGCCAAAAAGGAACCGAACTTCTGTAGCAGCCAGGGTGCAGACCGTATCCCACCTGCTCCCGAGGAAACACAGGGGCTGACATATCCCCAGCACCCTGACTGCCAAAACCACCGACTAGACCCCAAAGGATTGGGGCAAAACCTGCAAGAGCTAAAAAAATTAAGGCTCTGGGGTGTCCCTGAGGTCCTCACATCCCAGGCAGATGCAGTGCACCCCGGTCACCTCCTAGAGCTTCCCAGCACAACTGCACAGTTCTAAGGGTATCTTCACTAGTCTCCACATCCCTGGAACTCCCTTCACTGGGCATCCTGCCGTGTGGGAGCCCTGATGTAAGGCCATTCCCAGCAGCATCCCTGTACTTCAGCATCTCCGAAGTGCCTGGCCATCTGGGATGTCTTGACGGCTTTTGGCTAGTCAGGGGACAGGGATAATTATTGGTGTGCAGGAAAAGGGGGTCAAGGGTGGCTCACATCATCTGCCTGTGTGCTGCAGTTGTGCTCTTGACAGGGCAGGGATGGACTGCCGGTGACTCTGACAAGCACCCAGCAAGGCAGGTGCCTGCAAATAGTTTCTGAATGATGATAACAACAGTGACAGCAGCAAGGGCGAGCAATAACCAGGGCAAAGCCTGCTCTGCGCCAAGCCCCCGCTCGAGAGAGGCTGCAGCCGCTTCTCTGCGCCCAGCTGCTGCACAGCAGCTGAGTTCCCAGCCTGGCCTGGCTGCCAAACACTAACCCATCAGTGACAGAGAAAAAAAAAAAATCTCCCTTCACCCCCATGGCTATGCTAACAGGGAGCTGAGCAGAGCCACGAGCCTCCTGAAAGGGCCCCAGCTTCTTCCCTTTCAGCCATG